TTGGACACGGCATTGAAACATTTTGAGGAATTTCTATGCTGGCTAGATGATTATAGAAAAAAATAGGTTTCACTGTGCTGTAGTGACTGCCAGTGAAATAGCTGATGAAATGAGCATTCCGAGGAATTTCAAAGAAATTAGGCTACGTAAGAAGAAAATACATTTTGATTACGAGTGTCCAGACGAAACTAGTGCTAACCCTGCAGACATTTTCAGAACTGAATATTTTAATGTCATCATCGACATAACTCGTGCAAGTGCTGGACTTCAGGGGTTAAAACCTACTACACCAATTTTGATGTTCTCTACAATGTTTCATCTTTAAAGAACAAGTCCGATGAAGAACTTTTATGGTGTTGTAAAGAACTACAAGTGCTACTTACGTGTCTGAGTCGTCCGACTCCGATAAAAATGGCGAAGAATTATTTGAGGAATTAAGACTGTGTACCAGGACTGTACCTTCCAATATAGACATTCATGATTCACTAAAATACATTATAGATAATAATTTAATTGAAGCTTATCCTAATGTTTATGTAGCATTAATAATTATATTAACAAATCCGGTTACGGTTGCTTCAGCAAAAAGATCTTTTTCAAAATTGAAAGTTATAAAAATTTACTCTAGATCTACTAAGTGTAAAGAGAGCTTATTGGCATTGACTATTCTGTCTATTGAATATAATTTTGCTTCAAATCGATATTATTCCTCTGTTATAGACGAATTTAGCACTACCAAATGCAGAAAAATGATTGTTTGTGTGTTTTGAATTTCACGCAAAACTACACGAGGGCTATGTGCGCTAGCCGTCCCTAATTTAGCAGTGTAAGACTAGAGGTAAGGCAGCTAGTCATCACCATCCACTGCCAACTCTTGGGCTACTCTTTTACCAACAAATAGTGGGATTGACCGTCACATTATAACGCCCCCACGGCCGAAAGGACGAGCTCGTTTGGTGGGACGGAAATTCGAACCCGCGACCCACAGATTGCGAATCGAGCTCACTAATCACTTAGCACAGAAAAATGAAATAAAATTGTAATTGTACCTATTCAATAAATTGTTGTGATTTTATATTAATGTTTTATTTCACTTAATATCTGACATTTTTTTCTCATCTATGACTTTCACCTAGAACCTCGTTATCTCTATAGCCGCCTCTGAAACTATCTTAACTGTATAGGTCATATTAGCTTATAGGGGCAAATCCATTATAACTATATAGGTCATATTAGCTTACAGGGGCAAATCCATTATAACTATATAGGTCATATTAGCTTACAGGGGCAAAAACTACCTTAACTATATAGGTCACTTCAGCTTATAGAATCAAATCTATCTTAACTGTATAGGTCATATTAGCTTATAGGGGCAAATCCATTCTAACTATATAGGTCATATTAGCTTACAGGGGCAAAAACTACCTTAACTATATAGGTCACTTCAGCTTATAGGATCAAAACTATCTTAACTGTATAGGTCATATTAGCTTACAGGGTCAAATCCATCATAACTATATAGATCACTTCAGCTTATAGGGGAACAGTATCTTAACTGTATAGGTCAAATAAGCTTACAGGGGCAAAAACTATATTAACTGAATAGGTCACTTTAGCTTTGATGGGCAACAACTATATTAACTATATAGGTCACAGCAGCTTACAGAAGCAAAAACTATCTTAACAGTATTGGTCGCATTAGCTTACAGGGGAAGACTTTCGTAACTGTATGGATCGCATTAGCTTTGTGGATTTATGAAATCTTCCACTCACCACAGAGCCCCTTGAATAAAACAACTTCATGAAATAGATAAATCAGGTATACTTCAACAGTTTCTGATGGGACATTATGTGACAAAGTTTGAATGATAAGTTTATGTTAGTGATTCTTAATTTATGTTACACCATTCTTGTTGGTTTTTTGAGAGTCCACTTGAAATTTATTTTTATTTTCACAATGTGTGATTATTTTTCTTTTACGGTGAAGGAGAGAAGTTTGGTGAAGGAAGGGCGGTTTTTTTAAACAAAATTCCAGCCCGTTATTGTTTTTATGACTCGGGCAAAATTAGTTGTTTAATAACAAACTAGCAGAGACCCACAAAACATTTGCGATCAAATTAATATCTTTATTGTTACAGTACTTATTTAAATATAGGATTTCTAGAGTAATATAAAATAATTTTATTCACAGACACCGAAATCTGTAAATCCACTTGTCTTAGACCTAACATTAGTTAAACCTTTTACTAAGTACGGCTTATATTCGATAAAGTAATACGTTAACTTATGTACTTTGTTGCTTTAGTTTAGTTAGAACTAAACTACCGTACTTAATACCATCAATAAATAAACTTATAATGTGTTTCTACGACCTAACGTTAGACCCTTTCTAAAAATTTTGATAAGCTGTTGTTGTTGTACAAAATGTCTGCTGAAGTATATTTACATCCGTCCATTTCTTTACATTCGTTGATACGAAAGTGCGCGTGCATTTTCAGGACAGACTAAAACTGAGTATTATTATAATAGTCGAACCGCCATCCGCAAAACACTTGTGGTAGCTCTCATGCCCTTCGTTGAATTTTCTGTATTCTATCATTTTCACTCACGCCATTTAAGGTAAGATTTCTTACATGTGTTATGTGTTTGATGGATAAATTATGATCTATTTGAAAAGAATAAAATAAAAAGGTTACGTCAGAGAAACAAACTCACGTAGACGTAAATTTACTTAATAAAATTACACGTAAAGTAAACAAGAAAGTAAAGTAATGGTAATAGCGTACAGAATATGAAACAGTTATGAGCATTCAGTGTATGCCAATGTTTTACAACTTGAAACAAAGAAACTTACAAAAACGAAGAATAAAACTCATACCAAAGAAAAAAGTAGCTAAAAGGTGTTAATAACAGTTTATGAAACAAACCGAAGTTAAATTATTGCAAGGTAAAATAAATGTAAAGTTGTAATGAAGGCAAACTTAACTGAATATGCAGAAACGTCTGGAAGCGTGTTCCCAAAATGATAAGCATATTTGTTTTGAACTAACTGCGCACGTTTATTTTAAACCTAAATAAGTCGAGAAAGCCCATAGAAATTGTATTTAGTGTAATGTTAATTTTTTTAAAGAAATTACACGCGGGTTAAGTACTGTTTGTATGAAATAGTTTGCAAATAATAAACTTAAAGTTAAATCGAAGCCAGTCGTCACGTGATGAAAACGACATTTTGTACCATACTCGTTGCATTGAAAAGTTTGACTCAGCAAAAAACAGGTAAGGTGATTCTGAATGGAAAAGTCAGTATGCAATCCGGACTCCTCGGACAAAGGCCCTTCTAACGACATGAGATTTGTATAATTTGATTGAGACATTTACGAAAAAACTTTCGTACAGACAAATGCAAGCGTATTACTTATATAGATAGTTTTATGGTCACCAAGCATTACCTTGCCCAATAAGGTATTATGCTAGTGTAAAACGGAAATATTTATCAATTGTTATTTGTAATTATGTATTACATTTTAAAGTGTTTTATTTTTCATTTGATATCATAATCAAATGATTAAATTATCATGTTTCTCTTGAAAACAAAATCATCCCAAGATAAATCTAGAATCGCGTTGCATAAGTTTTAGAGAGGGAGAGAGAAAAAAAGAAATGCTATATAAGTGTGTGTGTGTGTGTGTGAAAGTACAGTTGGAAAATGTGTGGATAACTAAAAAGCGTCAACAAATATTTAGCAAGGAAATGTCCAAGTATTCAGATATTGATGTAATATTCTCAAGTACATTAATTTACCTTTCAGATAGTATCCATAAATAACTAGAGACACAATTAAGAAATGTATTATGAGTTAAACTTAAATTTTGAATGTGACGGAATTTTGAACAAGAAAGAAAATGGACATAATATAAGCAAAGTGAAAAGTAATATTTATTTATAAAATAAATTAAAGATATGACTACTGTACTGAACAGAAGACAAGAACTTTTATTAGAGATTAAACAACTCTTAGAGCCTCTGTTGATCCTATTAAAAAGTTTTTAAAGTTTATCCTAGAATAAGAAACCATAACATTATATACAAGATACCATCCGTTTCAAGTGAGCTTGTGCTACCCATATAAATTTTACCGGCAATGGTGAAAGTCATGTGCGTGTTCTCATTTTCTCGTGGGCCTTACATGTTGACAGGCAGCTAAGGGAACCCAGTCACTGAATTATACCAGTTTCAGAGAATACCACACCTCATTAGTAACCCTAATCAAGGGCAAATAGATAAAATTAGATTAGGCTTTTTGTAGTGATGGACTGTATATTATGTATGTTTTTGTTGTCTTTTATTCACCACATTGAACCTATAATGATATAGATTTTGAAGAATATGTAGCACCAATGCTACTAAATCATTATTCTAAAGCAGGGGTTCTCACACATTTTTTGGCTGGGTCTCCCTTTGAAATTATTTCAGGCTGTGACAACACTACCCTTCCCCCCGCCACACACAAAGTAATAGCAAATTACTATATACACTGACATATCCGTTATCGCAATATTTTTATAGCCTCGCAACCCCCATTTAGGTCGAGTCCCCACTTTGAGAAATGTTGTTCTAAAGTATTCAGTAGACAAGCTGTTTAAGATACTTAAAATAAATATTTATCATTCAGTTCACTGTCTATCACTGAATTATGCTTAGTGTTACCGATGAGGAATAGAACGCCCCCAAACCGGTATAATTCAGTAACAAGACCGCACCCTAAAGTATGAATCATCTGCCAATCCTGTAATAATCCATATAGAATTTATAATGTCGTCAAACAATAATATTTATGAACTAACGTGTGCTTAATTAAACTAAACGAGATTTTTGGTAATCAATGTTAATAAGATAAACTTTGGTTTTTCATAAACTAAAAATTTTGATTCGTATTTCATCTAATTATTTGTATTTCATAAAACTGATAAGGATGTTTTACTCCACTAGGTAGCAGCTTGATCTCATTATTTTAGCTTTATTCAATTACTTCTCTTTGTACATAAATCTTAACGTTGGTGCGCAACATCATAGTTGATATCAACGGTTTGACTGTTATGAACTTCAATTTTTATTACATAATTACAAATTCATAAAAAATACGGTAGACCAATTAGGCGGAACATTCCATCCGCATAGGGCCTACCACGACTTTACAAGATGGCGAGCTCCACCGGCGGATCAGGTATTTTGTTAAAATGATTATGTTTCGTAAGTCTTATAACTTATATGTATAACAAGTTTATAAGTTTTAACATCTAATAAAGCGTAACAGGCTTAGATTAATTACTGGGCTATAGTATTGTTAATTGTAGTTCAGTACAACTATTACTAATTCTAGTAGTCGTACTACTCGTGACATTAATACTAATAGAAATATTTTAGAGAGGGCTACAATTAGTACTACTACTAGGATAATTACAAGGATGTAAGGGTTATCTTAGTTTTGATAGGTTAAGACTTGACTTATTTGATCTTGATAAAGAAGGAAAGGGGTGATCTTATTGAAATGTAAAAGGGAATTTATGAAATATAGGACTCCAATTTATTTATGGTACATAGGGCTTAAAATTAAAGATATCTTGGAATGATAAATTTCTTTGCAGTCGTGACACATTACAAAATCCAATGGGGCTTGTTACTTAAAATTATTTGTCTGTCTTTGGAGTTTTTAATGTACTTATACCTTTGATTTATAGCATTTTCACAGCAAAATGTGATATTATTTTCTCAAGATTAAAAGCCAAAAGTAAGTAATTTAACAGCCATTCAGAGAATTTTCTTTCTCTGTGGATTGCCTTTGGAACACTTCTCTGGTTATTGTTTTTAAAATTCTATAATAGTGGTTTCATACCAGCATGGTATCCTCAGACATACTGATTTCTGCGTAATATTAGTTAGGTCCCCTTAATTATGGGAGGATCAAACAGGAAATTTATGGAGTAACCTGAGTTTGAAAACCCAACAGAGTTTTAATCAGTGAGAAACAACTTGATTGGAATGTGTGATGTTAAGTGTAAAATACATTTTTATTTTAACGTAATACACATTTACATATATGCAAACCTTTTAACATTGTAAATGACATACTAAAACAACTTGAATAAAGATTCTTATTCCCATTAGAATGGAGTAGCCTAACAGACCACATAAACAAAAAAAAAGGATGAATAAGGGACCTTTTGGTTCATCTCGGCCATACTGACTTCTAAATTAAACTAAACCCTTAAAAAAAAACACCTCAAAACCAGACATTATCAAGCTTTCCCAATTAAACATCCTTAAATTAATTGCATTAACACATCCAAATGTAACCACCCTGTTAAAAACAATGTAGCTGTCTTAGCTGAAGATGGCATTTTCCATTCTAAAATTTATACTTGTGTCCTCTAGTCTTACTATTTTCACCATTAAATATATAAAAAAAAAAGATGATGCATCAACATTATCAATTCCTTTAACAATCTTAAACACTTCAATCAGATCCCTTCTAACTCTTTTGTTACCAAGAGAAAAGTTCAGAAATTTTAAACATATCTTCATATGATAACTTTTTCATCCCAGGTATTATCCTAGTAGCCATCCTCTGAACCCTTTCCACTTCAATGACCCTTCTGAGGTAAGCAGCCACATACTGAACACAACACCGCAAATACTGCCTAACCAATGACCTATACAATGACATTATAACCTCTTTAGACTTGTATTCAATATTTCTGTAGATACACCCTAAAACCTATTTGCCCTGCCACTAGTAACAGCACATTGCTTGGATGGCTTAAGAGACTGATCAAACATTACATCAAGATCCCTTTCTATCATGACATTGTTAAGGTTATTCCCATCCAAATTATACATATAATTCAGATTTTTACATCCCACATGCATCACCTTACATTTATTATAATTAAAAGCCATCACCAAATAATCCAAATCCTTTTGTAAACAGTAGCATCCTTCTCAAAGCCAGCAACGCCCAAAACTTTAATATCGTTGGCAAATTTAAATAATCTACTGACCATTCTTTCATCTATGTCATTGATGTAAATCAAAAAGACCAAAGGTCCTTACACTGAGCCCTAATGTACCCCACTCGTAACATTATTCCAGTTTGATTGAACTCTATTTGTAACAACCCTCTGCTTTCTTCAATCTAGCCAATGTTCTATTCAATGAATCAGCCTATTTCCCACATCTTCAGAGATAACAATTTTAACAAGCCTTTTATGTGGCACATTGTCAAATACTTTCTGAAAATCCAGATATACCACATCCATATCTGTACTGTCATCTATGTAAGCAGTAACCTCTTCAAAGAATGTCAAGAGATTAGTAAGACAAGATTTTTCCCTACTGAAACTATGCTGACTATTGAACAAAGTTTGTTAAATGACTTTGAAAGACATCTGTCCCATTTAGAAAGGGGCAGTCTAACTTAATACAGATGTATAAAATAGAATGAAACAAAACTCTTTATGAAGTATACAAAATGAAAATTAGTAACTTTAAAAGTGTGAAAAATTCTCTAAGTGACAAATTAGTATACAAGAACCCTTCAGTTGTGAAAAAATAAAACCCATTCTTTACAGATTCATGAAAAACAAAAAATAAACTTTACTCAATAATAACAATAAAAATAATAAATGCATAGGAAATATCAAACTCGTAACATAGAAATGAAACCACATGAATAATCATAAAAAAACTTAGTCTTTTCTGACTTGTGTGGACATGCAGAAAGGTACCAGAAATATATTGGCATATGCCATGATTTTACATTCCAAATTGGGAAACTGAATTGACTTCATGTTCTAGAAACAGAAAAACTAACAGACCTACCAAATTTTCCAAGATTTATACGTATTCATATTCAACCTTAGTCTTGTTTTATATGTGTGATGATTATGTTTTATCCTTTAGCATTTTTGAAGAGGCAATTTAAGAAATTTGCATTTAAGATGTTTTGTAGAATTAAATTTCTACATTTTTCCATGTTAGGAGTTATAGTTCCACGGAACTTTCGTTTACTCGAAGAATTGGAACAAGGTCAGAAAGGTGTTGGTGATGGTACTATTAGCTGGGGATTAGAAGATGATAGTGATATGACTCTTACACGCTGGACAGGCATGATTATAGGTCCTCCTAGAGTAAGTGGTTTGTTTGTTTTTTACTTTCAAGATCTTGGAAAGAAAAATTTACTTTCTCAGAAGTTTAGTTTATGGGGATTGTATATCAAAGGAAACAACCTATGAATGACTTTTCATCTACATTTTGTTGAAAGTCTGTGAATTAGAAAATAACTATTTTATCATATTATATTATATTGTATACTTCTTAATTTGCTGTACAAAAAAATCTATTTTTAAAAATTTTAATTGCTATTTCCTTGTGTATCAGCTTAGTTGAGCTGAACTTGTGCATCAAAATAATAAAAATTTTCCATTGCTCTAAATTTTGTAATTTAATTTTTAATCTTTTATTATTTTACTCAGAATCTGAACAGCTTTCACAAATAATACAATTAGTAAACCATGCAGGAAATGATTCACTTCTTCAGTTTGTGTACCTTGTGGTATTGTAAATGCATGTATCTAGACAGAGCTAGGTAATTTGGTAGTTAACTGTTTACATTTCTTACCTCTGTTTCTGAACAGTTAGTTTCAAGTTTGAACTAAATTTATTAACATTTTGTTGAAACAGTTTATAAGTCAGGATTTTGAAATAATTTGCTATATTGTTATTATAATAATATTATGTAGGCTGTTTTTATAGTGATTTGGGGCTTACATGAAACTACTTATAAAGCCATACCTAATGAGATACTGGGACTGTGGATGAACAATATAGGGTACATACGCATCCTTGAAATTGAGAATAGAATTTCAAGGGGTTGAAAGTGCTTAAAAAAGGGGGCCTTCTTTTTTTTTTTTTTGCAAAAGTACTTGAAAATATTATAATAGCAGAATATGTTGATGTATCTAACTTTAATGCATGTTGTGGAGTTGAGTGAAATAAATAAAGTATTTCTTTTCTTTTTAGTCTACATTCATATGTTGAACAAATAAATAGGAATTTTATAAAATGTCAGTGGAATCCAATTGATTTTGATGGAGATTTTAGCTTCCAAAAAGTGCTTGAAAAACATTCTGAAAGTGCTTAGAAAGTGCTTGAAATTGATTTGATCTTTTCAATATGAACCATGACAATATTAATGGAAAAGTTAATATAACTGATGAAATTATGTAGTTTAGGTCATGATGAAAAAGCTGTATTATAGTACACAAAGTTAGTTGTACTTAACCTACAATCACATACATATATGCACTTGTGAACATAGTGTTTGTATGTATGTGCATATATGATGGTGTGTTTTAGCTGGTATATCAACACTTAAAAGTCTTTAATGAATCAAATAAATAGAGATGTGTACGAGTAAAAGCTTCAATAGAAACATTTGTTTTACAATTTACAAAATAGTCCACACAATTTATTATATATACAAGTTAGTAGTAGTTATTGTTTTTTTTAAGTGTATTATTTCGATGTTTAAAATCTAATAACAAGAGCACATGGTTAACAGATTCCTAAATTTTAAATTTAGCATATCTTCTTCTACCATATAACTATGTCTATTTACAGTTCCAAAAAAATCACATGGTTATTAAAAATTATGATTCAATTTCAGGATGTCAAATGTCTATTTTTTATTTTGTGTTCATGTTGTAGCATTATAGAAGTTTATTATAATGAATATTTTTATCCTTCCCACCTCCATTTTTTTTCTTTAATGCAACCTTTTCATGTTAATTTGAAATCTACACACCATCTTATTCAAATACACAAAGTAAACATAAATATGTAATATTAAGGCCTGAACATACCTTGTTGATTGTAGTTGTCAGTAAAAATTTACTTACTTATAAATGAATAAACCAGCAGTTCCAATAAGAGCAAACAGTTAATAAGAACTATGCTTGTACTGAAAGATTAAACATTGTTTTTCAGACACCATATGAAAATAGAATTTACAGTTTAAGAATAGAATGTGGCCAACAATATCCTGAAGAACCTCCTTCTTGTAGGTTTCTAACAAAAATAAAAATGAATGGAATTAGTGAGAGTACTGGTTTGGTAAGTGTATTATAATTTTTCTATTACAGAATTTAAAGCACTTAATTGAAGGAGGTTATGTACATTATAGGTTTATGTTTTTCTGTCATAGTCCTCATTTTGCAAATGCTGTGTTAGTAAATGGATATGCTTAACCACATGTTTTGGTTTGTAATTATCCTGGCAATAATGATTATGTAGCTTACGCACATTTTTAAGTGTCAAATATCCACTATGAACTTTCTGTTCATTTAGTTGTGGGAGAAGTTTAGGAAAGTCTGTTAAAAGTTGCTTTGCAAATTCATTTAACAAAGTTTAGAATTTTTATTGGATAGTCAACATAGTTTCACTAAGGGAAAATCTTGCCTCACAAATTTTTTAACATTCTTTGAAAAGGTTACTGCCTATGTAGATGAGGGTAAGGGTGTAGATTTGGTTTATCTGGATTTTCAGAAAGCATTTGACAAGGTACCACATAAAAGGCTGGTAAAAAAAAAAAAGTTCTATAGGTGTGGGGGATATGTTAGCAAATTAGATAGAAGAGTGGCTGGATGGAAAAAAGTAGAGGGTTATTACAAATGGAGTTCAGTCAAACTAAATTAATGTCATAAGTAGGGTACCTCAGGGCTCAGTCTTAGGACCTTTGCACTTTTTGTTTTACATCAATGATATAGATGAAGGGATAGTCAATAAAGTACTTAAATTTGCAGATGATATTAAGATCTTTGGTGTTGCTAGCTGTGAAGAGGATGTTGCTGACTTGCAAAAGGATTTAGATCATTAGTGAGTTGGGTAAATGAGTTTAATATAATAAATGCAAGATAAATTGC